TCAACTGAGGACACGATCAATCGACATATCGATCTGCCAATCGCTTATCAAGCACTGCGTGAACAAATCAGCAGCGCAGCTGGAGGTCATTCCCGGCAGAGATGAGCTAAATATGCGATGAGTTGTACAGTATTTTCATTCCTTGACGATGGGCTCGCGTGAGAGTTCGAAACGTCGGACAAATAAACCACTGGTCCCAGCGATCGCCTTCCCGTCTTCTTCTATGCAATTGCCTGGGCCGCGCGTATTCTCTACCATTCGGGATATATATATATATATATATATATATATATATTGCGAATTGAAGCGAAAATGCGCGTTCCCGGATATAACTGAGAAGATAAGGTGATCACAGGAACCATGGATTTATTTGCCTGACCTTTCGAAAGCAGACAAGCTTCCATCATCGGAGGTGGGCTGGGTACTGCATGTCACAGTATTTATGGGTTTTCCTTCGTGCTGGCGTGTCATTGACATCCAGCGCGCTGCATCACAAGGTATGACGATAGTTGTCATGGCGGCGTCGGTTCCTACTCATTCTTTGTCGGGTGTGGTGAGGGGGGCGGCGTCGGGGTGACCGCGGCCATTGCTCTTGTTTGCATTGCCCGTTATCCGCCCTCGACGCATCTCACCTTCCTGCCCCGTTCGCACCTCCTGCCCGTAACCGCGTGGACGGTGGTTGTCATGCCAGTGTTGACGTCGGGCTGGGGGGTCCTGTAACTGTCGGGCGTTCTCATCGAGTGCTGGCGTCTGTCTGCGTTTGGACCCAGAAGGCGGTCTCCTGGGTTTGCGTTCACCGCCGGTTGTCCCCTGGTTTCGTCTGTTCCCGATGCCTGTCTATGCCCGTCCGTGTTCCCACTTGGTCCGGGTTTGACTACTACCGTCTCTGGCCTGACGACTCGTCGGTAGCCCTGCCTATTGAACTTCACTCGTAGGGCTTGGTAGGCAGCTGGCAAAGTTTCGTATCGGTTAATCGAGGTAGTTGTGGTGTGTCAGGCTTCGAACGTCTCCCTGACCGTTTGATCGGTCCCTTGGCCCAAGACTTCGGCGTCTTGGAAGGCGAAGGCGTGACCAAAAGCTGCGCAATTTTCTGCCACCAACGAGAGCTGATCCATTCTTCGTACCGCTCTTGCCTGCTCGTCCATGCGGATCTGCAATCTCTTCCCGGTTTCTCCAACGTAGTTTGCCTCGCAGGAACTACATAGGATCCGATAGACGACGTTGGCAGTTTCGTATCGTGGCAGAGGCGTTTTTGGTCTCATGACCAGACGTCTAATTGTCGCTTCGGGTTTGTGGGCGATGCCGATACCCAATGGTTGCAAGGTACGAGCAACTGCCTCGGAAACGTTCGCAATATATGGCAGCACTCGCCAGACTTTCGGCTGATTTGCCGTTGACTTTACGGTTGGTTTGGACAGTCTTCTGCGTTCTATAATGCTGCGGGGGTAACCTTTGGAGGTGAACATCCGCCGTAGACAGTTGAGTTCGGCTACCTTGTCGGTCGGTTTGCTGCAGTGAGTGTCAACTCTCTTGTAGAGAGATCGAACACAGC